TCTATACATCGAGTCCCCCATACTCCTTCATGGTGTACGTCTTAATTAGTTAAGCACAGGGACAACTTGACCTTTATAGTTCTAACGATCTGAGAAGATGAAAAGATTTTATAAAATTTGTCTCATAATCACTGGATAACTGCCTCCACAGATGAAGGCAATTTATGGTGAGCGGTTAGTCATTGGGATGGGCCGCGCCATAGCTCAAGCGGTTAGTCTCTGGCTTCCCCTCCCTCTTTCGTCACGTACATTAGACTTATTCTTGTTGCGCTCTAACCGCATCACTGAAGTTTGCTTGAAGCAATGGGAACCTATTTCTGAACGGCTGCCTGCAAAATGATGCACCCATCAAAATTATGCGTGAAGTTAGAATTTTACGAACTTCTGGCCACTGACGTATCATTTTAAATATATTTTATTTACTTAAAACATGATATAAATGCAAAATAATATCTAAAATAAAAAATGTCCCGTATAAAGTAAATAACAGAATTCTCGCTACTCGTCGTCCTGCCAGATCCCTTAAATTATCAACACAATTGTAATACATTTGCAGATGAATATCCTTTACCTGTTTTAGCAATTTTATTGATTAGTCTATTGCAGTAACTATAATTTTATCTGTGATTATGTATGGATATGGAAGTTGCTACGTCTTCGCCCGCTCGGAAGCCGGGATCGTGGGTTCGAATCCCACTCAGGGCATGGATGTTTGTGTGCGTTTTTCTGTTTGTGTACAGGTAGAGGCCTTGCGACCGGCTGATCACCCGCCCAAGGAGTCCTACCGTGTGTCTAAAATCTAGAAAAACTGAAGTGAACGGAGAAGTTCATGGAGGTAGACCTAGGCCCACTGGGGCTCTAGTGCCAAGGAAAGAAAGATGAAAGTTACTACCGACTTTAAAGGAGGAACATAGACTGAGGGTGTCTGAGAACAGGGTGTTGAGGAGAATATTTGGACCGAAGAGGGCTGAAGTGACAGGAGGAAAACAAGTGTAAATGTACATAATGAAAACTTTCATAACATGTACTCTTCTCCAAGTATAATTAGAATGATGAAATCAATGAGGATGAGATGAGCAGGGTAGGTAGTACGAATGGGGGTGAAGAGGTATGCATATAGGATATTGGCGGGAAAGCCAGAAGGAAAGAGCCCACTAGGAAGACCAAGACATAGTTGGGTGGACAATATTAAAATTGATCTTAGAGAGATAGCCTAGGATGATATGGACTGGGTCTATCTGGTTCGGGGTAGGGACCAGTGGAGGGCTCATGTGAACAGAACAATGAGCCTTCGGGTTCCATAAATTTCTGGGAAGTCTAGAGTAGCTGCAAAAATGGTGACTTCTCAAGAAGGGCTCAGCTCCGTGAGTGATGATGACGATGAATCTACTACATTATTTTACAGTTGAACCTTTATTGGAAGTCAGATAAATTGAAACAAATATTCACCCCATTCAACACAGAATAGCAATATACTAACTCAACATTTAGAAGAAAATATTAACATGGATCTCTGGAGTACAGAGAAGCATAAAAAGCTATTCTGTCTGACTTATAGCAATTTATTAGCGTTACGGTGTTTAATTAAGCGCGACGCCTTTGTGACCTGTCGAAAGTGAAGAAATAGCTCCATGCATTTTTACCTTTGTATCAGATGAAAGTGAGTGATCGGCTTTGCGCCACGGCCAATTTAACAACGGAGACAGAGCGCCCACTTCGCTTTGGAATGGAGGTTCCTTGGGCCGCTGCACTCCTGCCACCTGAGAAGCGAAATCTCAGTCCTAAGTTGTCGAGTTTGTAGACCAGCCTCTATACCGACTGAACCATGTCGGCTCGTAGGCATATATTGTGTCAAAAAGTAATGAAATATTTAGCTTTAGTCAATCCTGAGGATATGTAAAGGAATTCATTGCTGGTAACGCAGGGAATTCTACATGAAAATTTCAGCTCACTGCGAGTTATTTTACTGTTCATGATGTTATAGACCTCGTCTCTCAGGCGAAGTACCGTGGGTTCTGTCTCGGCTGCTCGAACGGTGGTTGGAGCTGGACTGTAGACTCGAATGTATGTAGTACGGAAGCTCCAGAGAAGTAACGAAACAATTTGTTTATCACAAAAATATTGATTGCAGAGTGGACAGTCCTTGATTTTAATTATAATTACTGTCAAATCTGGGACAACACCACTCTCAGAGTAACGTTCCGTCCGGCATTAACTGGAGGGCACTCAAGATGAAAAATGGAATGTGATTCTGGGAGCGGCAAGCGTAGATACGTATATACTTAACACTGATACACCTAACTTTCCCGAAGTTTCCATAGCGTTTTCTATGTTACTAAATATTTCCACACAAGTCTGGTAGTCGCCCACTGGTGTTTTGCAACATAGTAACTTCTTCATGGTTTTGTCTTAGCAGAAAAAAGAGCCAGAAGTAATAGATGTCAACATCCTGTTTTAACGAAATGTCCGGTTGGGTAATATAACTCGTTTCAAAACCCTCCACACCAGGGAAGACGATCAGTTACATTTTGCTAATAAAATCATTTACTATACCACATATTAATTATATACAGTAATTCTATACCGGGATTGGTGTCCTCATGCAACAATGATCTGGCCACAAAATAGATTTGGACAGCATCCTTTTTGATGCTGAAGCACCTTCTGAAGTTTATATATCGTTGCCAATGTAGAGGGCAGTAATTAATAAGTTTATAGAGTAGTTCTCGCAATTTAAAGTTGAAAATTTATCGCGAAACCTGTACGAAAATTCTACAGGACGGTCTAATGAAATGCATAACTTACAGGGGAAGAGTTTCCAAAGGGAATAACCATAAAGTTAAGAGGTGATTTTTCGCTTGCGGACTAGAACCACGAGTGTGTTTATCTCTTTTTTTTATTGTAGTAATCATTTTTATTCGAGCGAAATTGAAGTACCGTCGTCTCCTTACTTTCAAATTGGAGAAACAAAGAACAAAATTGTGAAAGCAAACTATATGACATTTGCTCCTCCCAACCCAACCAAACGAAAGGCAAATATGTTTGTGAGAGAGTAACGAAATTACAGCCTTCTGTGCTGGTACAACCTGTAGGACCGTACATGAGTACCAGCGCTATCCAGGACCCTCTTGTTTCCATCTTCATAGATGAAGAGATTATGGGAGTCTTCTCTGAAGATGGATTAGCAGATTCCTCCGAAAAATTGGTATCTCTCTATCAAATTTAACATTGCCAAGTAATAGAAAACTTTAATCTTCATGAAGAATTTGGATTTCTAGTAGCAATGGTCGTGAATGTTCCCGTTTTGTGGGACACAACTCCGCGTAGTCCCTCCAAAGTCAACCTGCATTTCGGAGTAGCTCTTTATCACCAGCACGAAGCAGATATAAGATCAATTCTTTGCTGCTTTCTTGTTTGGTTTTTCTCCTACCCTGAAGACAGAGGTGCATATTCTTCCGAAAGTTTGGTTAAATTTCAAAGGACTAGACACCGTTACGTTCCAGAAGATAGGAGCTCTTCTTTGTATTCTTCATGTATGTTTTCTCCTGTCGTTTCATTCCCAGTTTATAGTCTGTTTCACACTGATAATCAGTAACGTGTATACATATGATGACATGTAGACCCGTTGATGGGCAACTACTCGGTCCCGCGGCAACGAATGCGCAGGTAACAACAGGATGACTTCCGTTCTTGTGCAACGTGCTGTAAATACAACAATAGAGGATGAAGTTTTTCTTATGTGGTTCACATATATCAATTGCTGGGCAACGGATGTGTTTTCTATGGTTCCGCCTCGAAACTATACAAGTGGTAGTTAGTTATGCACAGAGACAACTTTCCTATTTACTTTTTACTTTCATGTTGGGGTGGTATGGACTGAATGATCCGTCTCAGGATAGGGGCCAATGGAGGGTTCTTGTGAACAAGGTAATGAACCTTCGGGTTCCATAAAATGTTGTAAAGTTTTTGAGTAGCTGCACAATTGGCGGCTTTTTAAGAAGGGCTCAGTTCTATGAAGCAGTTTGTTATGTATATTGTACATACGTATATCGACGTAAGCACTTCTTTTTGTCAATGGGTACCTTTACCATAGGCTCCCAATCAAGCCGCTCCAGTTTTATATTATTTTCAAATAGAAGAGATGCTTTCAGAAGCTTTCCCTTACAAAGATTTTGCTGCTTCTGAAGCAGTGGCTCCCAGTTTGTTACGGGTAGATACAGACCCTGTGTAATGTTGCTTAAGCACTGATCTGTGTATCAAAGTTTCTTGGCTTGTCCAATTACGCGGGTAATTCTAAAATAGTCTTATGGACGAAACAATGAAGTATCTATGCATAATATATTTGCATTTTCTCTTGAAATTTTTCGTTATATTAAGATTGGAACCCTTCACATTGAAAGAATTTACTAAGACTGTCTCGGACATCAACAGTGATATGACTACTCACCATAGAAGACTGTAATGCATCTGTTACATTATTTGCTTAGTTTTTTATATATCGGTTTCGTAATTGCACATAAATTTACACGCTTAATGTGAATTGACAACAATTTCAGTAAATACAATTAAAAAAAAATACGAAGATGGAAAATGCTGTGTGTATGACGATTGGAGTAGAGATGATACGTTTTAGAATTTATTTCATAATTATATACACAAACCTTTTATTCGTCTGATGCCACAAATCCACACCGTTAGCTGTCCTTTATACATAGCACAACTATTATAATATTAATATTTACACCGTAACACCGCTAGAAACATACATGGAGAATAAGGCAACAGATAACATGGTCACGTGTTCTGCAGAAGCTCACAGTTCAAATTTCTCGTAGTAACTGAGTTAATGAAATAAAATTTTAATTGAAAGCGCACAGTATTCTCTTGTTTTAGTTCAGAACAAAAATTAGTTTTAGCTATTTTAACATTGTTTAAAATTTATAAACACAGCAAGAGAACGCTGGGCGTCGGTGAAATATATATCTCTGTTTCACGTGACCATACGTCAATGTATTCAGGCCAAATCCAGCTTGACAGACGTGGCCTACAAATTGGCCACGAACGTTCGAAACAGTACATCGGAAGTAACCTTTTGAGTATTGAACCATTTCGAAATTTGTTTTACTGCAGCATTTTCAGTTTTCCCCGATTCACGCAAATGTTTGTATAAAAATACAGTGATCATAGACTGCTTTACTAAAAGTAGGTATATAATAGTGCTTCATAATGACACTATAAAAGACGATTTTAGAGCCTTGAAATTTGCAAAATATTAATTTAACCATAATTACTCAAAGTGCGTATGCACTGTAACCACAAGCAGAGTATTTTGGAATTCACAGCGAGATGATTTCGCAAGGTCAATGCAATATGCTGTACCGTTACTCCGGAATTCCACAAAATAAACATACACGCATCCTATGCAGTTCCTTGCGGATAAAAGAATAAGCAAAGGTTCTGCATGTAAAGTTGTAAATACTTGAAGCTTGCCCACAATCTAAAAGCTTTCCTTCTCCTGTGTAACTGAATTGTGATACCGCATTCAATTTCGAAATTGAAATGTTAAAATACCGTGTTTTAAAGAGGGAAAAATCAGATCGTATATCGACTTTAAACAGTAATTATGGTTAAAATTTTAACTACAGCAGCTGATTTGCATGAGAGAATAAGTGAAGGTAGAGCTGGTTGTCAGTTACGTCTCCATCCATGAAGTACTGTCAAGAAGAAAGAGAGGCAACGTGATTAAAAGAAGTTGAAACATTCATAGCTTCTGATTAATTAAATCACCCCCTTCCGTCCCCACACTCTGTGATTCATGTCAGCGAAATCCACTGCCCATTCTAACGGCATCGCCACGTTTAAAAAATAGGACTATACTTAGTAATGTACGAGGTATCGTGAATGGCCAATATAAATATGCATTTGGGTCTAAGACGTTTATGGGCCCCATAGAGAAGAGCTCAACATATTTGTAACTTAGCCGCAAGGTGCAGCTGAGTTGCCAGGTTTTAGCCCTGGTTTCTATTATCCCCGTGAGTTGTTAACCTGTCTCTCACATTGGGCAGGAACGTAGATTATCATTAGAGCAATCTGAGGGCGTGTTTACTTAGGAAATAATCCTAATTATGCCATCAGTAATCGAAACACAGGCGTCCAGTCAAGAGTCTGTCTCTCCACTTATAATGCAGATTGTGTTCTTGGTTAGCTTCATAATATGATTAACATATTTAAAATTGCAGAACAATTTCTAATGAACTTCAGAAGACTAGATATTTGAGTGGATAGTTTAACTGCATCGAATAAGTCTGGTATCTGACAATGTATGTGAATGTGAAAGGACTTAATTTTGTAAACCAATAATAGCCACGACTTTGTGATGTGTTATAAAATATACGATTGTAGGAAACTACTTCATATGTAAAAATATTTAGCAAATAACATAGGTAAAGAAAATGTTCAGGGTAAGTAGCAGGCCTATATATACGGTTCTTAAAATTCAAAACCTCTAACCTGGCAAAAAAAATTACGAAATACTGCACATTCTATAAGAAAACAAATTAAACCCCCTTTCAACAATTCTCATGATGTTCAGCTAATATTGCGTATTTTAAAATAAACGTAAATTAATATCATACCTACAAAAAGAGGGAATGTCTTCGCAAATACCATGATTTACTATTCTACTAAATGTTTAACTGAAATTTCTGTTCTGCAATATTTACTATAATGAACAGTTAAGTTCTATTGCCTTTTCAAGGTGGAATTAACAGTATTCTTGATAAACATTCCAAAAATAACAAATATTTCATGATCTCTGTATTTTTGTATTTAAAAGAGAATTAAACTGAAAAATAAATTGACATTTGACTTCAATGTTTCACTTACTTTGCTGATTTACATTTCAGTTCATGTCGTTTATTATTATAAAATTAAAATCATTACCTTTGTAATGTTACGTTCACAGCGCCGATCCTAATGTCTCAATTGCAGTGAAAATCTAACAGCAATTTGTCCAGAAAACATATATGTTCGCTCCTGGTTTAATATATTTCAATCTAATGTTATACAGATAGGCCCAAAGTCCACTTCACTCAGAGGTGAAGCAAAATTATTGTCAATGCACGATGCTGCACTATTTTTTGTTACTTGTATAAGGGATAGGCTTTCTTGGCCCTTGCACCGCGACCACTGTGATCTATTGTGCCTTTTTCTGTTACTTACTACATGTTTAATTCTGGAGAATGTTCACCAAGAAATTCTGTAGCATTTTGAATTTTATCATACCTTCGAAGATCTCACTGATATTTGTTGCGTCTCTCAACAGATTGTCCATATTTAGTTTACAGGACACGGTTCAGCTTAACTTTTGTTAACTCAGAGGATTGACTTCTTGTGGAACTAAAGATTTGGGGTTTGACCTTCCCGCTTTCTGAATTCAGTGCACATTAGTCAGTGCGACACTTCACTGTAAGCTCAATGCAATTTATATAAACACTGAACAAAGTCGCTATGTAAGGCCTGTGTTCTTTCACAGGCATTATTGGTATGTACGATCTGTCACAGTTATTGTTGTGAGGTCAGGACTTTGTTGTACGTCAGACAGTATTGTTTTGTAAGGCCTGCCTTATATCACAGAGACCTCTGCTGCTGCAGACATCGTGTCACAATGTAGAGTGTTCTGCCACAGATACACCCCCTCGACCTACACTCTCTCCATCACCGGGACGAAGATTAGAAGGGAAACAAGTACAACAACCCAAACTTCTCGTTGTAAGCTGCAACTTCTGCTGAGACTGGGTCTGTGGCCCCCAGCACGTGCCGGAGGTATGGGTGCCTGGTTCTCTGTGTAGGTATGATGAGTTCCAAGGGCAGGAGGGCCCAAGGTCGGAATGAGGGCCCCGGGTTTTTGGACCAAAATGTTGGTTTGTTCCTCCTCTTCCTCTCGTTCTGCAGACCCACGGTCCACGTAGTCCTCCTCGTCATATCGAGTTGGAAACACTCTGTGCGTGGAGCCGGGAATCTCTGCCGTCAGAACCATAATGGAATGTCAGTACAGGTTTCATATTTTCAGTGGGTGTCGTCATTTTAAGAGACGACCTTACATGTATTGTGCTATTTTGTGTACCTTGAGGAACTTAAACCGTCACTTCAGACTTCACCCCTTAAACATTAGAGCCTATCTTAAGGTCCCAATCAATAAAATGTTTGCAATTTATTTTAGGTGCAGGTTTATCTACCTATATATGGCTCTACAACCCTTCTGAACCTTGGCCGCGTTTTCAGTCTCTTCATTTATACACAGTAGGTAGAACTCCTCGGACAGGCGATCAGCCGGTCGCAAGGCTGCTACCTACACACAGAACAACACAAATATAAATAACTGCATACAAACATCCATGCCTCGAGTGGGATTTCAACTCGCGATCCCAGCGTTCGAGCGGGCGAAGACAGTTCATGGCTCAGACCGCGTGGCCATTGTGACCGACAAGGGGCAGGCTTAATGACAGGATAATTATCAATGATACACATTTTCTGCTAGCAGAAATTAGACAACAATTCATGTGTAGCTCAGCAGAGAACACATTTGTACACATTTCTTTCAATCGCGTTCCTCTGTCGTCAGCATTCTTACTGCGTTTTAAATTAATGCTCCAAATAAAATATTTTCTACGAAACTAACAACTATATGAAAATATACATATGAAAAAGGGTAATAATTGTCTTCAGGAAGGGTGACAATCAGAATCAGCTGTGCCCAACAATGGTCAAAAGTCGTGAAATGGAAGAAACATCTGGACACAGCCCTATATATTAGTAGCAACTAGTTCACTATACACATTAAAGAGAAAATGTGTCTTCAATACTGTCCATGAAGGATATTCACAGCTTAGCAAAATATCTTTGGAAACAACAATGAAACACTTTGGTATAGTGCCAATTTTAACATGTGGCTTGGAAATGCTATGGGAACACCTTTCAGAAAAATTTCTAAAAACGCTAGAAAATATTCAAGTGACACACAAGTAGGAGACCGTGGGAATTTCTAGGTTCACGCCCTGGACACTGAAGTGCACCCTCGCAAGAAAAGTTCATGTAACAGAAAACTTACTGTTCAAGTTACTCACATCATGCACGAATGCAGAGAACAAATTAGCAATAAAAGAAAGAGCAAGGGATACGATGCGCATTCGACTGCGCAATGGTTACAACGAACATAGAACGCAAAAAGTCGAACTACGACTTAGTGATGTGTCTTACTCGCACGATTTTCCTAGCCGAAGAAAAGAGCCATTAAGGTGTGTAACTTAGAATGGGATGGGGTAACTATAGATTACAAACTAGGGACTAACTCCAGTTCTGCCTTTTGGTATATAACACCATGTAGTCCGCTGAAAGTCAACCGACGTTTTCGAGGAATATTTTGTTTCCATATTTAGGAAGCAAGAAGCCAGCGTGAGAAGGTAGCAAGCACAGCTCCGCTCTCAAGATGGAGAAGATGTATTCCTCTGAAACCTCCACTGACTTTCAACTGACTACACAGTTTTATACCCCAGAAAATGGAACTCTTCATAACCACCGCCGTGAAAACTTCAAATTCTAGGAGAAGGACACCCGAGTGGTGGAGGGGTCCAATACCTCCACCGTAGCCCTGGGAGTCGTAGGAAGCAACGAAAGAGGAACCCAGTACCTGGGGAATACAAATACGGCGACCTGGACCTCCAGGTTTGGGGGATCTAGAATCTGGGACAGTAAAATATGGTAATGAGTCCCGCGGGACTCGGACCTGAGAATGACTGCGCTGGCTCGGACCAGCAGCAATTGTAAACGACAGGCCCATCCTCTCGTCAGAGAGGATGATACATAAGGACTATAACCGCAAGCGTTCAGTTGGAAAATAAAATTACTTGTTGTGATTCTCAAGGGGCTTGTCGCCAAGACGAACTGATTGGCTGTAAAATGCCAATCGTGAAGTAACTATTTCTCTGTCTCCCAAATTCTAGAAGGAACTCAATCATTGACCGTATATGCACACCATATGGAGGCGGGGTCGGATAACTCCACCGTGACCCTGCGAGTCGTAGGCGACGAAAAGGGAAGTCTTAACTCTGAGACAGTAAAATATGGTCATGAATTCCAAGGGACTCGGACCCGAAAAAGACTGCACTGACAAGGGTCCAGAAGCATATACAAAATACAGACCCACCCTCTCGTCAGAGAGGGCGCCCCACGAAAACAAGACAGTAACTGTCAAACAGCAATAAATATCTGGTCATGAGCCCCAGATGGGGCTCGACACCAAGAATTGCTGACTGACTGACCGTCAGTCTCAATGTGACTTTGACTTGACATTCTACCAGTCCTAAAGTAACTCTGACTCTGACTCTGACCCTGTCTCTGACATTATTACGTAGAATGTCGATATGTAAAAAAGTACATATAATTGACATGTACAACTGACTATGATCGCGGTAAATGACCCATCCTCTCGTCAGAGAGGGTGCCCCAAATCGACAAACCCGCAACTATTTGACAGTAAAATATATTGCCTTGGACCCAAGATTGGGCTTGACAACAAGATTTAACTGGCCAAGTGACCGTGGGGCGCAATGTGACTTTGACAATGAATTAGTGCCTAACAAATGAAAAAATCAGAACTGTCCAGACCAAGACTAAAAACTTGTCACGAGTCTCTAATGGGCCTTGACACCAAGTTAAACTGACTAACCGTCAATCGTAAAGTGACCTCGAAAGAGTTAGTGGTGAGACTGTAGCCAGCAGACATTTTCCGCAAGGACGAGAGCAGAAGAATCTCCATTGTTGGGAACAGTAAACGGGCAAGGGCTGTTGAAGACAGAAAAGTCTTTTTGTGTGTGCAGTAGAGTGATTTGTCGAGTGTGTAGAACTGCAAAACTGTTATAACAAACTGTAGTTACGAGTTATGCCCAACAAATTCAATTAGCAATTCAAACTTCGTGTCCAGCCTCTAACGCGAAGAAATGTCAATTTCATTCATATGTTTAGAATTGCAAACCCCTTCAATCGAGAGCATGAAGGCTCTTCTATGGACCGAAGCATGCATGCTTGCAGTGAAGCCACTTTCGGTAACAGTAGTAGGTTTAAGCGCAGGGGTCATTCACGCACAACAACAGATAGAATAATTAAGGAAGAAGGAAACTCTCTAATTACGAAAGATCACTGTTACATTTAAGGAAAAATTAATATCCCTGGAGAACCACCTTGCCGATGATCAATGTATTTACTGCCAAGGATATAATGTACGTGTATTGATGTTGTATTCTGTTTACTGAGTAGGTCCAGAGAAGAAAATACACATCGCTTAACGAGTGTGTTCGAAGGATAAAGTATAGGGCATTTTAAATCAGAACTTCTCAAGGGATTCTGAAATATAAGAAATAATTCCTTGCAAAAATATTTAGCTTAAAAGAGGTGTAAAATGTCATGTGCACTAAAACAATATATTTTCATGCTTCTTAAAAAGCTTGAATGATGTTTCCACGTGCATAAACTTCGTTAAAATGTTTAAATATAAGACGATAAATATAAATTGTTTTTCAGTTTTTAAACAGAACAAGAATCGCATAGGCCGAAGCAGATCAAGTTAATAATTTTATTAATTTACAGTTCGTTACAAGAACTGTAGGGACACCGACTTCTTTCTTTTTGAGGACTGATTATCTTGGCCATGCTGCTGATCCCATACGCTGTATATACATATGCTTCGTTGCTTCACTCACTCATGGACCTGAGCCCTTCTCGAGAAGCGGCCATTTGTGCAGCTACTCAAGAGCATCCCAGCATTTTATGGAACCCTAAAGCTCATTACAGTGTTCACAAGAGCCCTCCAGTGGTCTCTATCTTAAGCCAGATCAATCCAATCCATACCATTCAATCCTAGCTCTCTGAAATCCATTTTAATATTGTCTACCCACCTACACCTTGGCCTTCCCAGTGGTTTCCTTCCTTCCGGCTTCCCCACCAATATTCTATATGCATTTCTGCTCTCCCCCATCCGTGCTACATGTCCTGCCCACCTCATCCTCCTTGACTTGATCATTCTAATTTTACTTGGAAGAGCTTCGTTGCTTTTATACTGAAACTCTTTTTTTTTTATAATACAGTATTATATATGAAGAAATCATACATATGGATTGGAACAGTACGTACTACAGTCTGCTTTTAAGACAACACGCGTCTTTCTACATTCCTTCCAAGGTAGTGAAAACTCACCATAAAGACGAATGTTGCTTTCCACTTCCCCGAGTGAGTTCTTGGCGATGCATCGGTATGGACCCAGATCACTTGCCATTATGTTTCTGATCACCAGCACCATTCGCACTTCGAAGAGTGACTTGCTGATCAGTTTCACCTCGTACTTGTCGCTAGAAATCACCATCTCTCCTGGAACCAATAGTCGTCACCTATAGACCCTGAGTCATGCAGATATATTGACACTACTAACCATTGTACTAGTTGTGGTATTTTGCACTGAATGCTTCAATAAAGCATATTAACAATGAAACTTATGTATTCATATTTTCGTAGTTTAGGTTGTGACAACTTGTAGTCTTCTACGTATACAGATATCAACTTTTCAGATACAGATGATACGTCTGACCTCAGAGTCAAAATGTGTATGTCAAAGAATCGGTTGGATTATGTATCCAGAGAGTTAAGATGCTACGTCACAACGTGTCATACTCATAAACACCAAGTCTGAAAATCACTGGCGTGAAAACCTCAAAACATATAGACCTATGTCCTTATACGTCACATTTAATTTATGTGGCTAAAATTCTCTTATAAACTTTACCCGTGTTAGACTGAAACTATAATACTCTTCACCCATATATTAATGAGAAGTTACATAATTATAATTAGATGCAGTATCATTTACCCTCCTCCCTCTGTGGTCTAGTGGTCAGAGTTCCTGGCTACAGACCCAGAGGACCCAGGTATGATTCCCGGCTCTACCAGGTTTTCTGAGAAGTAGTGGGTCTGGAACGGGGTTCACTCAGCCTCGTGAGAATAATTGAGGAGCTATTTCAAGGAAATAGCGGCTCCGGTTTAGAAAGTCGAAAATAACGGCCGTGGAGATTCGTTGCGCTGATCACGCGACTCACTATATTAGCTAAAGTTGGCACTAACTTCGCCGACAAGAGGCGGTCGCTCGGTCGGTATAGTTCACTTAAGGTCTCAAGCCACGGAGTTGCAGTATTATCTGCGTTGGTCATAGAAACCGTGAGGTCTAAGGCATGAAATGTTTTCGCTCGCTCGGACGCTGGGATCGTAGGTTCGATTCGCACTTAAGGTACTTGGGTGCCAGCCACTGGACCATGACTTTCGGTACGATGAATGTGGAGAGTTTTGCACTCACAAATGTGAAAATAAGGGCGAATATTGCAGGGAATAGAATACCAGAAACCGATTCTCGACAATGGCATAGAAATCCTACTTTAGAACTTCTTGAGTCATACAATTTAATTTTAAATTTGTCAGTTCCTTCAGTTAGGAAGAAGATGGTCGGAGAATGAAGCTGATCAGTCAGTCTAAAGAAGAGTGGTAGCATAGTTGGTTGAGGCAATTTGATATAAGCCGGAAGGTCGCGGGATCGAGTACCGATGAGGTGGATATTTTCAATTTCCTTAGTTCTTCCAGACGCACTATGGCTCTGGGGTCGACTCAGCCCTCAGCCTCTAACAGAAATGGGAACCAGGAATCTTCCTACGGGGTAAAGGACGGCCGGCGCGTAAGGCTGACAAACTTACCGCCATCTGTGAGCCGACTGTCTGGAGAAAATGTAGGAGCCTCGATGTCTCACAAACCTATGAGCCTTCATGGCCTGTTAGAGTGGTACCTTTACCTTACTTCCACCCAGCTTTAACAAACGTTTCTTAAGCAGAAGGGTAGTTTCGCAGATCACGAATTTGTAGAGGGGTACGAAGCCGACACTCAGGTACTAAAATCACGAAACTGGGAAATACATGATTACTCTAAATTATTGTCGGAGTTTCCGTGGCCTGCGAACGGAATTACCGACAATAATTTAGAATCAGCATGTATAAGTAACATGTGAGGTTTTCACGGCGATGACTATGCAGAAAGCAGTCTTCTGGGATGTGGTGCCGTGTAGATATTGTCTTAACCCACGTTTCGGAGGAACGTATCGCCTCCATCTTCAGAGTAGAAGACAAGAAATAATTCCCGAGCGAACCAGCGTGAGCAGGTGCAACAGACTGAGCCCAGTCGAGTAAGCACAGCTTTGTAAGAGCAGGAAAAGAAGGGAGAGGGACTACATGGGGAATCAGCAGAGAGGGGGGGAAGGGTGTGGGGAGGTGGACCAGCAGATATCCAGTATGTGTCGGGGTAGAGAAGGCAAGGAAAGGTTAAATTGAGGGCATTAACACTGAAGCTTGAGGTTTGAGAAGCGAGTCGGGCAGGGACCTGCGTGGCTTTGTGGATCTGGCGTCATGTCCCGGAGGTTTTTCGAGGGAATAGATGAGAGGCTTCCATGACTTGCTGAAACAAAACCCCACCTCTCTGTTCATATTGTCAGGATGGAGTTCAATCTCAATGGCCTCCCTAATGATGCGATCCATATATCGGGTCTTGGTGGCGAGGATGGATGTATTCTGATCTGAATGCGGTGTCCCAGATCGATGCTGTGTTCGAACAACAGGACAAGTCAGCTGTGGCTGAACCCCTTCAGCTTGCCACACGTTGTTCGCCGTTCCTCTCCTTTGTTCTTCTTCTTTGGTTGGGCGCCAGTAAGCTCAACTGGTGCCTGCTTACAATAATTATAGGTTTAATTAGGAAAGGTAGGTAAAGGTGATAGGTAACTAGTTCAGCTGTTGGTAAAGTTGAGATTCTTCCTCAGAACGTTTGAAAAGGACCTCGCTTCAGCAGAGAAGGGATTAACAATGTACCTTTGCACTTAAACACGGTTATCGTTTATTAACACTTTTATTCACTTGATAGCACACACAGTTAAGTTCGTGGATACTTGTACATAAGTCCGTATATAGCTTTAGTCCTGGTGCACTAGAAGTTATCAGAATAGTTTACACTTTGGCTTGTGGCTCTGTCCAGAACAGCGGTGATTTTGCATGTAAACAGTTAACAAGTTGGCAGAACACTGAACCCCGCGACTGACTTCCCTGAAAACCCTGAGATCCCCGGTCGTCAATTCCTCAGCTAAGTCGCTCCCCCTTAATTCCACTGATTGGGTAATTTTGAAATCTAGGAGTTCACACACTTTTTGGATCTCCAATCAGATAGCTGTAGAGTGGAATTTTTATCCTTAAAGTCCTAACGTCGTTTTTGACAGCCCACTGACGGATAACCCGCTTGGCGTGGGTCTCCAGCACGCCCCATTTGAAGTTACGATGTGCTTGACTTGTCAGAAATCGTTTGCCGCTGCACTACTCGTAGACAAAATCTCTAAGAAAAAGTAAGAGGTGTGCTTCCGGTGTAACAGTGAGACAGGGAATAAGTCAATTCCTGCAAATAAGAAGGTGACTATGTCCCACTGGCTTGGCTGTTACTTGCTATCTGCAATTATTTCTTTTACTAAAGATTCTAATTATATCTAAAAGTAACGAGCGACTGTGGAGCGATTACAAGGAAGCGATCGTGACCTAATCTGAAACCCTATTCCATAATTTATCTGGAGTAACTGAAGAAACAGATGACATTTATAATACAAGACAATCGACCTTTGGGTTCCACTTGAACACCGGGAGCAGTGCTACTTGGAGTGTTAACTGCTTGGAAGAGGCGTTCGCTGAATCGGGCTATAACCTAACTTACGTTATTCAGGCATCGAATCTGAGTTTCTTCATATTCTTCGCTATTGTGCAGTGCTATCTCCATGTACACCCTCTCTGCAGAATTACAGCGGAATTTTATAGCAAGTTCTCGCCTGAACAGCTTCCTGATGTGATGCAAGTCGGGTTCGCTTAATTAGCAGTACGGAGGTTAAATTCAGTTAACTCTTGAAATCAGAAGAGGATGTAAAGATATATACAGAAGTAATTGTCCCAGAATGAAAATACGTGGATCAGGACAACAAACAGGAAAGAATACATGAAACTACAAGATTGGACACAATTTGGAAGTGAGAACAGATTTAGAAGCTTCAAAAATGAGCACTGAATGCTTCGTGCTTTGAATCAAAGAGAAAAACAACACCTCAATATTTCTTTCTTTAATTATCTCAGACCCTAAAGTTGATTCGTTCCAATTTTACATCATCAAGTGTGTCTTTAAAGAGGAAGAGTTTACTTTTATGGGTTATGTCACGAATCTGCAGTATCATGAAAATTGTGCAAGCATAAAAGAATATCTGAATTTAATTTCAGGCCACGATGGATGCGTAATGAAACAGAAATGGTGCCATGTGTATTATATATTAAAAAATATTAAAATTATAGGGGAAGTTAATATACCACTTAATTTGAACTGAAATATTCATTTCATGGGAATCATAAAACTGAAGATTCACTTGTGCGTCAAAAACAAATAACTCAAATTATAAATAGGAGACCGTTAAATTTAAGTTGAATTACAGAGAACATTCCATTTTTATTAATATTGCTTAAGCGATTATCTTAGCATATTATAAATAATTTTAATTCCTGTGAGAAAATTTGTAAATTACTGAAGTGTAATTTCACAATTATAACCGAACTGTGGTCTGCCTTCTACACTCCAATAAAATCAACTTGCACATGCCTTTTGTTCGCAATGCTGCATCCTCGTGATGTCCACAAAGTGACGTTAGACAAGTATCTTATGTAAAGTGCATCGAATTTGTAGAACTCTGCTCTGCACGGTTTTCGAGAACAAAAAAGATGAACTTTTGTGCCGAATTTTCTTTGTCATTTCATAGACTCTTGCAATTTCAGTCCAGCTTTAGGGCGTTTATAATGTCCTTTACCTCCTGTGTACTTACTTATGGAGCGGAGCCCTTCATTTCTGTCTGCCTAACAGCACTGACCCTATGTACATTCAATAACTGAAAGAAGTAGCTCCTCCACCTATTCAAAATGTTGTGGGAATCTGCAAGCAGATCACCATTCTCATCCTTCACTAAGTTACTGCTAGGCTGGTAACCCCTCTTAAAGTCATTTATTCTTCTATACAGGCCTCCAATGTTCTTGTTCTTACTGTTCGTTGCAAGCTTATCACTTTTGACTTTCCCTCTTTATATTCATGAATTGCCTGCTGGTTTCGCGTCTTATATTGTTCAGATTATCCCTATTCACGAAAAAGCTAAATCATTCCGTCCAGTGTGACTGGTTAAGATTTTCTTATTTCAATTATTCATGCCCTTACATGTTTCGGTCTTCAGAGACCATCTTCAGAGGGACACCTTTACATCAATACAGTTAGAAGCCACT